TCTGCTCACGGCCCCTACGCTTGGCTTTCCTATTGGCTTCAATGTATTTCACCAAAAGGGTCAAATTGTTTTTCGAATCTTCCAATTTTTAACAGAATTTGGGGAACATTTTTCCCGATAGACTACAACACTCTATAATAGAGGTAGGCAACAACATTCTGCAAGTCCCATGAGGCATTGCAAGAGTCTGCAGCTGCAGGCGTGACTACCAGAGGCAAGGCACCCAAGCTGAAGTGCCAAGACTGTATACCCCTGGTCTGTACCCCTGGTCTCAGTTTCCCTCATTGAGCTTCCTCTATAGTTCAGTGAAGAGAATAAGTTGCCCTCTTCCGTACAGATAACCTGTAATTTAGGTGATGCGGCCCTTTTAATCTATGAACAGATTGGAGGGTATATCGTTTTCGCACTAAGCACTTTTTCCTGAAATGCGACCGCAGCAGATTTTTTTTTGCTACCCTCCTTTTCCTAAACTGCAGCAGAAGCCGGTTCCTTTCATGTGCCCTTTGTGCGAGGGACGCAGCTGCGCCATTAATGGCTCTCCCAACATCCCCATTCAGCTCGGCCGAATTATTTATGCAGCTGCCGAACAATCGCTCAATCACAGACTCTTTATTCCTCCGATATAAACCCGCCGTCGCCGCTTCCGTATCGTCGCGCCGCCTTCTATTCGGGAAATCATTCTATGTAGGACGGTCTCCCTCAGCACTCGGTCTACGGACAGGATTCTGACCTATCAGCAAAGTGCAGACGCTTGAAAACATGACACCGATCATTAAATACAACGTATCCGCGGAGTGGAAACATAGAACTCAGGATCTCTCCGGGCCCCCGAGCCCCGAGCCCTCCCAGAGCCTCAACGCTTTTCTTTTCCTGTCTCATTTTTGCTCCTCACAACTTAGTAGATGTAAACCCAAACAGGGCTATTTACAGAAGGGTGAAGAGTTTGGAGGAGGAAGAAGGGAACAATCTAGGCCAACATAGCTTTCCAAACTCTTCACCCTTCTGTGAATAACCCCGATTATGAACACTGATTCGTTTCGTGAAGCACCGCGCATCCTAAACAATTGCAATTGTATCCGTTGTCACTCTATAACAGGAAGTTCCTGAAAAAGGACCTCTATGGCGGGATCACCCTGGATTATAATGAAGGATGTGGATTTGGTTTTAATAATATTATAAATACCCAGATAGCAAGCAATTGAGCTGCAAGTTTGATAATGACTCGCTAAACTATCGCAGACTTGCCGAGCTTCACAATTTTGTTGCACAATTACAGCAAGTCTGCATTGCAAGTCTCCAGACCAGCCAGCTTGCAGAGCTATTGCTAAGACCTGCAGGACTCTTGCTGTAGACTTGCCGAGCAAATTTGCTACAAATTCACAAACTGCTACAAATTCAAAAAGTGTCGCCTAGAACTTGTGCTGCTGCGAGTGTTCTGCAAGTCTACAACCTGCCAGGAATGTGTGCAGCAAGGTAACAAGAATTACAATGTAACCCCGGCACACGTTTGTGGCAAGTTATCCTTCCTATCTGGGTAGTAATGAGTGAATGTGGGCGGGTTCGGCTTGCAAATAGTTTTGCTCATCTTGCTTGAAGTTTGCGAAGAACCCCGTTAAAGTCTATGAGGGGCGAATATTGTTATTTATATTCTATGTGTAAGGCTAATAAGCATCATTTCATCAAAAGAGGAGAGAGTGGGGAGGAGAAAGAGAGATAATGGGGAGAGAAGAGAGAGAGAGAGAATGGTGAGAAGAGAGAGAGAGAGAATGGCCAACAAGATCCACCCCAAACCATGTGGGCTGCAACAACTCGTATCCACCTTGTTCATCCAAAGCTCCCATGACTGCAAAAGAGAAGAGAGAGAGAATGGGGAGAAGAGAGAGAGAGAGAGAGAAAATGGGGAGGGGAGATAGGGAGAGAGAGGGAGGGATGAATAAAGAAATGAGAGAGAGAGAGAGAGAGAGAGGGAAGGAAGGAGGAAAAAGAGAAAAAGAAAGGAAGGAAGGAGGAAAGAGAGAAAAAGAAAGGAAGGGATGAAGGAAGAAAGAAAGAAAGAAAGAAAGAAAGAAAGAAAGAAAGAAAAGAAGGAATGAGGAGAGAGAGAAAAAAGAGATAGAAAGTAAGAAGGAGAGAGAGAGAGAGAGAGAGAGAGAGAGAGGGAGGAAAAGAAAGGAAGGGATGATGGAAGGAAGGAGGAATGAAAGAAACAAAGAAAGAAAAAAATATATTCCTCCTCGCACAGAATTGACAGCTCCAGCACACACCAACAATATGGCTGATGTAATCCCGCCCTTTTATATGGGGCGGGGTTATCCATTCTTTTAAACGATTGGCTCTTGTGACTCAGCTGACCAGGTAAAAGTGCATTATAAGTTGTTTCTTATTATTGGCACCAAACCTGCAAAATGTTTCTTGATATGTAAACTCTGCGGATCTCTGGGGTTCTCTGCCAACGCATGGTAGGGGCGGAACTTAACCCGATCCCTAATTATAACGATTGTCTAATCAGATTGTTTCATTTCTATTTAGAAGTGAATTGACACAAAGTGATTACATTTATCTGCTTCAGCACAACTCCAGCTAATGTGAAGTAACATCACCGACGGCGATATATCATCAGACCCTTTGCAACATTTTATAATTATGACGCCGCCAAGTTCAAGCGGCGGGTTTGGCGTCCGTCAATCGAAATCTCTGAGATCACAGGGCGAGCGGCGCTCGCCGGGGATTTTCGGATGCTGCGGGCGATCGGCTGCTTTCAGGGTGAATTCAGAATTTCACGGTCACATGGATCTGACTGGTTCTCAGCTTCTTCTAATTAGTAAATCGCTGGAACGGCCATTTCACACCTTTCTGATTTTTTCCCAGACACGTGTGATGTGTTTTAGGAGCATTTTACAATAAAACACCAAAAAAAAAAACCAAGTGAAAGCTTTTTGCTCGGTGGCAGAAACACTTCACATCTCTCCGAATCCCAATAAATAAATATATATAAATGGATATCTATCTATATATTACAATAAACAGATACGCCCCTGACAATAAGCACTAAGCAAAGTATGTATTTGAATGAATCCGTCCATGTATCCATTTCCAGTTGATTCTTCTATAACCCACCTACCATCATTCATTGTTAGGTATATGTTTTATGTAACACTATATTGATACATTGTTGTATTGATTACCGGGGGAGGGGGGTAGAACAACAAATTTATGTAATTTTTTGATAGATTTTTGAATAGAACCGTATAAATCGAATCAATTTGTAAAGAAAGATGAACACAGTAGAAGAACCCTTCTTTGGTATTTTGGGAGATTTGTGGTTAAAGCGTACCTTCACCCATGTATTGTGTCAGACATTTGTGAACAAAGTCACGAACTGCACAGACACCAGAATTTCTATGATTGTGTCATCTCTGAGCCAGCGTCCAAAAAGTAGATGGTGGCCCTGGATGTTGCTTTAAAGGAGAACTACGGGGTTCAGGCTTTCCCCCATAGTTCTCCTAAGGGTAACGGGAGGACACAAACTAGCGTCCTCCCGTCACCCTAGGCTCAGTATACCGCCAGCAGCAGCTGAGACGCCGCAGCTGAAGCGGATCCCGACAATTATGCCGGGAACCGCCCAGCTGCGTGAGTGACAGCTGGCTCTGCCTATCTAGAGCCAGCTGTACCCGCCCCCTCCCCCGTCCGTTCCGCCAGCCAGCGGGGAGGGGGGAATCCAGCCCCTCCCCTGTCACGACAGAGAGCCGTGACAGTATCGAGAGGTGAGCGAACGCCGGTATGTGTTCTCTCACCTCCCGATCTACTGAGCCGACCTGTGACAGTCTCATTGTCACAGGTCGGCTAGAACCATGAGGTGAGGGAAAAGCACCCCCCTCCCCCCTCATAGTTCTCCTTTAATAAAGATGGTGCTGTTTTTATGGAGAGAAAGGCAGACTAAGGCATTGTCAGGGGGAGGACTGTGATCTCTGTGAGAGGTAATAAATACCTGGAAGTGTTACACTGACACATTAGTTACAACAATGGAGCGGGGTGGCAGGGAATCCCTGCAGGGAGCCATGAGTGATAGTCTGGAGATGATCGAGAAGTGAGCGAGCGACGGTATGTGTTCGCTCACTTCTATTGAGCCGACGTGTCACAGTTTCATTGTCACACGTCGGCTCGAACTATGAGGACGAGCAATTTTCACTCTGCTCATAGTTCTCCTCTAACAATATATTTGGTGGTGATTTCAATTTCTGGCTTTCATCTGAGGAGGAGATGTGATCGCTCTTTCAGCCATGATTCAGGTTCAGCAGTGGAACTGGATTGCCAGGCGGGAAGTGGATCTGTCCTCTAAATGTATCTTCACCTTACAAGAACTCTTGCAGGTACAGGCCAGAAATTCCTTCTCCCAGAATCCTTCAAGTCACATGATCCAATGCCAGAGCATCGGTCATGTGATCTGAGCCAAGTACCATTCAATTAGGTCTAGTCCACCGTCCGCTCTGCTTGAACTCTGTGGGTGCCCTTCACTAGAGATGATGGGACCAGTGAAATGACCACCAGGTGGTGAGTCTCTGCTAGGACAAGGTCATACAGTGCCCAGGGCAAGGGTGCCAAACTGCGACCCCCGTCCCATGATGCGTGCTTCATAGTCTTCTGCAGCTAAGATTACACTCCCAGATGCCACCATACGGTTCTCAGTGTCATCGTGCAGCTCCAGGTCAGCCAATTGGGTTCCAAGTGGACCTGGAAGTGCGCTGTGATGCTGTGGGACCTTTCAGCTGTGTGTTGGGAATAGCATCAGAGAGGTAAAACAAAAGGTGAGGCACAGTGCCCTACTGACCACACGGTAGGCCCTACTAGCCCTACTGATCTGGTCCTGTGGAGAGGAGTAGAGTTTATGAATCCCGAGGAATGATAACCATTGAGCTAGTACACCTCTACTATGACCATTGGTTGTCCTTCATCTCTGATCCATCACTGCGCATCAGACTAATACTGATTTCACCCCTCAGGTTGTACGCGGTGGGCGGCAGGGACGGCAGTTCGTGTCTAAAGTCCATGGAGTGCTTTGACCCTCACACAAACAAGTGGAGTATGTGCGCGCCGATGTCCAAGAGGAGGGGAGGTGTCGGAGTGGCCACATACAACGGATTTCTCTACGCCGTCGGAGGACACGACGCCCCGGCATCCAACCATTGTTCCCGCCTGTCAGACTGTGTGGAGAGGTAATGCAGCTTCTAATTTCCCAATTTGGTGAAGGAAATGGAGAATTCAACAAGCTGTAAACTTTTTTTTGTATACTAGTTGGTCCCATTATCATCATCATCAATTGTCATCTTCATCGTCATCGTCATCATCGTCATGTAGAGGTATTGTTTAAGGCCTAGCTACAGCCAAAACGTTTTGGCTCTGACAATCTGGCAACATTGTCTTAACAAAATGTTTTTCCAATCTAAGATATGACCCTAAAACGGACAACTGGACAACAGTGGCCCCGCTGAGCATTCCCAGGGACGCCGTCGGAGTCTGCGCACTTGGAGATAGACTGTACGCTGTGGGCGGATATGACGGCCAATCGTACCTCAGCGCGGTGGAGTCTTACGACACACAGACCAATGAGTGGACGCAGGTGGGATACTTATATATTTATAAATGGCAGCACCCAAAGCTACGAGCGTACCTTATAATTCAGGTTCCTGAACATAGGTGAGGACGTCACTGGAAACATTCGAGAACCAATGAAATCTTAAAGGAGAACTATGAGGGGGGAGGGGGGTGCTTTTCACTCACCTCATAGTTCTAGCCGACCTGTGACAATGAGACTGTCAATGATCAATAACACTAATACTAATTATTATTATTTAATAATGATAATAATAGTCATAATAATAGCAATGAGTAATAATAATATATCAGCAAGAAAACAGATCTCTTTTTTAAATAAACACAAATGAGTACACAGATTTTTTTTTCTCTAATATTTGCTATTATTTGTATCTGTAGAAATCATTTTTTCACCATTTTAAGACACTTTACTATGTCCAGAACATGTTTTATACGAGTTATAAATAACTTCAGACAAATATTTCTCACAAACAAAAAAACCCAAATGGTTGTGATTTAGTAGAAAGGTTTAACAATGAGATAAAAAACAAACTATTATAGATTTAGTCAAACAAAACAAATGTTTGCAGGTTATACGTAGATGTAAAGTCTGAATCATTTATTGAAGCTCTGAATCCTAACAATTGCCTTTTTCAAGATAAATAACTTGTTTCCCGCCTTGCTTCCTTGCATTATTTTTCCTCTTTCCTGCTCACTTCCTGTCTACATGAACTCCAGCGATGGCTGCACGGCATTTCTCAGGACGGGTTTCCTGATGGTGACAACAGTGGACCGTGTCTGTGTAATGTCTGTTGAAACAGGAACTTGTAGTCTCCATCTGGGGGCGTCCCTAAAATTTTCACCACCTGAGTCAGGGGGTGGGGTTGCTGGTGGTGCACCTTATGTGGATGGGAAATGTTGGTGGTGCATGTTACCCA